GCGGCCGGGAGCCGCGGCCTGCTTCCGGGGCCCAGCAGCTCGCGCGGGGTGGGGGTGGTCTCAGAGTTGGGCCCCGGCTTCCGATGGGTCCCCGGTGCCCCGCGCGACCCCGCCCCAGTCCGCAGCACCTGCTCCCTGTCCTGGGCGCCTCTTGTCCCCACCCCCACCTCGCAGTCCGCTGGCTGTCCCTCCCCAGTAAGGGCCGGGATTGGAGCTGTCCCGCAGACTAGGCACCCCCAGATCTTCAAGGATTGGGCGAGGGAGCAGGTTTGGGGACCTGCGGATGGACTTCTCACCCAGTCTGCGGGAGCACTATTGGGGGAAGTGCCAGCTTCTCAGAACAAGTGCAGCTCCTTCCTCTAACCCCCCTGGGGATTCAAAGTGGAGTTGGGGATCTCTTTGCCTGCAAGTAGCCAATCCGATCAGAGGTTCCTGGTGCTCACTGGCAGCTCTAGAATCCACAGCTTGGGGTGACGGGGTGGCCAGGTGGGGGGAAGACTTGGAGGGAAAGGGAGCTGTGGGCGGTCAACCGATCGTCGGGTGGCAGTGCGCGCTGGTATTAGGCAGAGGGGTGTGTGTGCACAGAACTGCCCAAGGGTGCTGTTCTTGCCGTCTGTAACAAAGGCCACATTGTTCCCGGTGGCCGCAGCGTGGCCTGTCACAGGTGCAGACTCGGACTCAGAGACACTGACAAGTGCGCCCAGGCTCTGTAGACCCAGCCTGCTTTGCTAGGAGCCTGGAGGGACTGTTTCTCCTAGCCCAGGGGTGCCATGACGACCCCACCCCGAATCTGTTCATGGCTGGAAGTCGGGGATGTAGGGGGGATGTCCCCGGCAGGAGAAAGCCAGGCCAGCCAGCCTTCCCCACTTAAGAGCAGAGACGCCCCTCTGGTGATTCCCATGGCACACGTGTGTGAACCCACTGGGCAGGGACCTCTTATCACCCGTCACTCAGGAGGCCTGGAGCTCTGGGCGTTATTTCCCTGCCTCAGTTTCCTCACAGGGAAACGTGACTCACTGAGCAGAGGGTCACGGGGGAAACGGCGGCCGTTCTGGGGGGCCCTGTTGGCTCCGGCCGCCCACCCTCCCAGCCGGCCCTTGTGTCTTCCTCACAAAGCTCATGGAAAGTGCACATTAGGGTTTCAGGATTTTTGCACCAAAATAAACTCTGATGCCATTTTCCAGAGAGCTTTTGAGTTTCTCACCCAAGTCCGGTCATGAGGTCCCCATCAGCTGCTCATGCCACACCGAACCCTGGATTCCGTGTAGTTAGCCTCTGAATACCTTCTGACTATGCCACACTTAGGAAATCAAGTTTTCCCTCAGATGCCAGGGATCAGTATTGTTCTGTAAGCGTTCTGTAAGCGTTTCCAGCTCCGGCATTATATGGTAATGTACGGGATGTTACTGTTATTTTTCCCAAAGTATTCATTGCGCTACTTTGTCACAGTCTCATACAAAATCATTTCTTTGTTACTTTAAATTCGCACCAATGCTATTGAGTTAATTTGACTTTTTCCAGAAATGGTCATGAGCTGAGTCTTGTAATGTGGTCGTTTCCCAGCGGTGGGGCTGGGCTGCATTTTCTTTGGCTAGAGGGGCACAGGTCTGGGTGGAGTACTCACACCCCCTGGTCTGCTCCTGTGCCTGGCCGCATGGAAGTGGGTAAAGGCCCGCTCCTAGCGTGCTCACAGAGTCAGGGTTCCTAGGGCAGAGGAAACCTTCCAGCTCCTTCCCACGCGTGTGGGTTGCCAAGAGTCCTTGGAGAACCCCGCGATGGGTAGTTTCTTCTGACTTGATTCCAGAGAGAGGGTAGGGAGTGCATGGGCAGTCTTGTCCCAGGTAGGCCCGTGTACTCCAGAGGGCACAGAGAGGGCACAGAGATGGCACAGGAGGCCCTGCCAGCCACGGGGAGTGCAGATTCTGAATGAACTGCAGGGATCTCAGGGTTTGGCACCAGAATAAACTCGCGCTTGGTCCATCTTCCGTGAGCTACCGAAGCCCAGGTGAGGCCCGTGTGTGCCTCGCTGTGCAGATGTGTGGGTGGACACAGGTCACACCCAGCTGGGCACGCTCTGTTATGGTCATCACTACCCGGGACAAGGCTGTCCCTGGGAGGCTGACTGGGAGATGGCCAACGTGAGGCCTCACGGGCTGCTGCTGGAGTTGTGGCCCCAGGACCGCAGGTGGAACCACTTCACCCTGCGAGGCTTCTAGGTACTTGAAGGAGTGACCGTGGGCGTGTGGGCCAGCGAGACCAGGCTCTGTCTAGGTGGCAGTGTTTGTGTCTAACTGCTGTTTCTGAGGAGGTCTCCTCTGCTGGATTCACGCGCCCCCAGGCCTTTCAAGCAGCCTGCCCAGAAGTGTAATTTAACCTCTCTGGTGGAGACATTATGTTAAATTCTTTCCATTGTTCTTTGGAACCCTATTAAATGTCTGCCTAATAGGAACCAGTGATCTCCAGACCTTTTATTTCCTGCCAGAGGATAAATTTAATAACCCATGGGGACAGGCTGAGCTTGGGTTTCACTGCAGTCCACAGTTCCAGGGATGAGAAGCGTCTTCGCTGCATGGGTCCTGAGCGGGTGGAACCACTGAAGGCCGTGGCCCACGCAGGCCCTGCTCGGCGGGGCTGGGCTTGGGAGCCTGAAGTAGGGCGGCATCTGGGGAAACTGCTAGCAACTGTGTGCCGAGTAGAAACGGGGTTAGCAGACGGGCCGCGGCCCAGGCCTCAAGGCGTGTGCTCCCTGAGTTGGTGCGCGCGCTGCTTGTCTGCAGTGAAGTCAGTAGGAGCCGTCGCTGGGGTGCTCATCGTCGGGGTCGGACAGGGCCGCCTGTCACCCACACACTGCGGTTCGAGAAGACAGCTCCTCACAGACCAGACGTGGAGGCTAAGAGTTGGGCATCGGCTCACATAGCCCGTGTCCAGGCCTGCCCTGCCCGCCGCATAGCTGGGGCCATCTGTGTCCTCTGTGGCCGGGCCCACTGTGATGGGGAGAGTTTGTGCACACCTGCCTGGTGCACCTTGACAGCCCAGGCCATGCGAGGGGCTCAGTAAGTGGGGTGTCCTCGACTCCAGTGCTGCCAGCCCTGCTTCCTCAGCCTCCTGCAGCTCTGCTGCCCCGCCCTCGAGGGGGGAACTGTCAGCCTGCACTTTGCTGGCAGCCCCAATACGCGCCCCTGGGCACATCGGCCTTCCCCTGCGCTCCCCTCCTGCTGTCCTGCCCAAGGCCAGTCCCACCCCTCCTGCTGTCCTGCCCAAGGTGAGCTCACCGGCTCGTCCCATTGCCATGCCTTCCTGTGGCCTCCTGACGCTGCCCAAGGTGGCCGGCTTGCCTTCCTCTCCTTGGCTTCATCCTTCCCACTCCACGGGCTCCTTCCCCTCCCTCTGCACACCACTGTGGTCTGTGTGCACATGTGCAGCGTGCGTGCCGTGGATGCCGTGTACCCAGGACGTGGAGGCCACCCGTCTGCAGCTGTTCCTGGACTGCAGGCCAGTAGTACGCGTGCTGTCGGTAGCTATCGGAGTGTGCTGGGGTGAGCAGTGCCGAGAAAGAGTGGGATGGGGCGGGGCGCCGGGTGAGTGGGCCCTGTAGCTAGCACGGACCACGGGGTGGCCAGGAGGGGTCTGCGGAGTGGCAGCGTGGAGGAAGGCCGGGGCAGTGGCCACTGGCTGCCTGTAGCTCCTTGCTGGGCCCTCCGCCCTCACCGTGGTCGCCCCTTTCTCCTGTCTCCACCAGCGCTCTCTTCACAGCAGGCGCCTGGCCCCCTCCGTCGGGACCTCAGTCTCCCCGTCTGCCCGCTGCGTTGGGGCAGAGCGGGTAGAGCTGGGTGGTGGTTGGCCCTCTTCCCATCGCTGTGCTGAAGCGTGGGCGAAGCTGCCTGGGGTGAGGCCCGGGGAATCAGGGAGTTCCCAGGACCTGCGTGGGTCGCGACACCCCCACAATGGCATTCCGTGCTAGTGCTGAGCTTGGGGCTGCCGTCCCCTGGGTGAGACTGCTGTCATAGTGATGGGGACGCTCTTGGAGGGCGTGACCCCGCCCTGTGGGCCCAGGTCCGGGTGCAGCTGCCCTCGGTGGGGGCCGTATACACACAGCCCCTGAGCATGTGGGTGACGCCGTACCCAGACTGGCTGGTGTGGGGTGCCCCTTCTGTGCCCCAGACGAGGGCAGGAGGACTGCATCAGCGCCCCCGTCCAGAGC